TGGCTACTGAAAGGTATCATACTAAAACAATATGATCTATTTCCTACTAGATCACATAAGAATCTGGGATTCATAATAAGTCACCTCTCTACTATAGATGGATAAAAAATCACTACCCAAAGAAGATTGGGATCAAGTGTTTTCTAAAAGTAAAGGTTCTCATTAAGTGATATGTTTTCTTAGATGATATAGAAAAAGAAAATCAAGATCAAGAATGAATAAGTTTTTCAGATGGTTAGAAAAAGAATGAATATTCCAATTAGACATTTCTAATGAGAAGAGATCTTTAAAAGCAGGTTTTTGAAGAAAGCTGGAAATTTTTTTTTTCAATTTTTATCTTTTTATTTGCTTGTTGTCTATTTAAACATTTTTAGATATTCCTCTTCCCACTTTTTTAATTCATTCTTTTGTAGTTTTCTGTATTTTAGTGGCTTGATCAGAAATATAGCAGTGATAACTTGCTAGCAATGATATGATAAACTAGAAGAGTTTTCTTCCAAAGATACTATGGAATAAAATAATGTCCTCAAGGTTGAACTTAGAGACTTTTATACTTATGACAAGTTAGTTAGATTAGAATAATAGTTTAGCTATAGTATGTATTATATCACTTGTATAAAAATATACTTATGTTTTCAATTGATTAATAAATTAACAATCTAGCCTGGCTATGGATATTCAAAAAAAAAACAAATTTTAAGGTTTTTTTTAACTTATAATTATATTATAGTAGAAGATGAACTCAAGTGACTGATTTGTTGTAACTTTATAATAATATTTGTAAATTTTGAAAATAGGTTTATTCTATTTATAGTAAACTCAAGACTCTTGAGATTGACCAAGTTATATATCTTTAAAATATTAAATGAGACCAATTAATATTTTTACTAAAATTTGAAAGATGCTGATAAGAGATCTGATAATGACCAGTGGTTTAAGAGTATTCTAATCTTTTGTTATAAGTTTATTGATCTTACATAATAATGATATTAAGTAGATCTCAATAAATTTTCTCTTTTATCTATCATTTAGGTGTATATTCTTATTGCAATGATTCATTGATTTCAAATTCCTTAGATGTGAGCAGCTTCTTGAAATAATTTATGATAATATTAGTTAAAATTTCAAGATCACTTGTAGTTGTTATATATCAATAAAAATTGAGAGGTCAAGAGAAAGCTTGATATTATTGAAGACTATTTTAATATAGTATTTGGGTCTGTTCCAAAAATTTGTAAAGTTTTTTTTGACTCTTTTTTGAATATTGTTTGCTATTAATAATACAGTTTTCTTTTGTTTTTTTGAGATTAGGATCCAGAGTATTTTTTTAATAAACTTGGATTAAAAGGAAAGTATAATATCTTCTGATAATAATCTTCAGCTTTTCTATGTAGAGCAATATATGAAGTATTAGATCACATTTTCTTGAAAGCTAACTTGATATGTTTTATAGTATCATTAATTTCTAAAAAGAGGCTTTTTTTTGTTTTTAGTTGATATTTGTATTTTTTCTAATAGATATGTTTTTGTTGAGAACTCAATTAATTATATTTTAAAAAAGAGATCAAGAGGGAGAGGGAATTAGGTTAAGTTATAAGGTAATGTCTTCTTTGAAAGATACCAGTTGTTCAATATTGCCTTTTCAAATTGATATACTTTTATTGTAAATTTTATTTTCTCTGGTTTGTATTCAAACCAACCCAATATTATTTTGATCTGCTTGTAATTAGAGATTATAGATTCTGATTCAGATATATTTTAACTTAACATTTTGTTCACCAGATTGGGAGTGAACTAAACTTGATCAATTTTTGAGACACTTATAAATATAAAATAAGTATATTTATATTGTTGGAGAAAGTCTTTGCTAAATTAATTAAGTTATATAGATAATTATATATTTTTTTTTTTTTTTGTTATTTATAGGTATGTTTATTGATAGAGTTGTTTTTGAAAATATATTAATATCTCCAGCTATGATTAGCTCAGTTTTATTGTTAAAAATAAATTCGTGAAGTAAAAATATTGTCTTGTTTCTAGATTGGTTGTTATATGAAAGATATATGTCAATTATTATTATTTCAATTTTGGGCTTGAATTTAAAATATGCTGCACATTAGTATTTACTGTATTCTATTTGAATGTTTTGAAGATATGACTTGTTATTTTATTGGAGACAAAAATGCATATACTATTACTGAAAGTATTATTTGATTGACTTGAAATTATAGTGTAGTTGTTGAGTTTTTTGAGAAGAGAACATTAGACTATAAATTTTGTTTCAATACATATTATTATGTCTCTTGCATTTGATAGTAAATCTATGAAGTATTATAATTTTTTTATTGATTTAAACCTTGTGTATTGATTGTAATTAAGATAAGGAGTTTATAAATTTGATATTGTAATATAGTATTATTATTAGAATTAAAGAAGTGAATATTATTGTTATTACTAATATTCATTAAATTAGGATAAGAAGAAGAGCTATTTCTGAGTCAAGTAGCTCTGGTTCATTGATGAAATTATTTAAGAGTTTAATAAAGTAAAAGTAATTGCTCAATTCATTAATATATTTTGGAAAATTCATCTTCTATAATGAGAAGAGTGATATTGATTTGATTGTTTTTGAAGAAAGAAATTGTGTCTTCAAGTGTAAGGAGATTAGATAGTATTGGGTAAATCTACTCTTAAGGTATTTTATCATGATATAATATTTTAATTTTGTTCACAATTTTCTTGAATTTAAGGGAATCTTTATATAAATCTTCATTTAAAATATTAAGATTTTTCTTGATGAGTTTTAATGATTCTGATAAGGAGTTTTTTTATTTAAGTTATGTTAGTAGAAATCCATTCAGGTTCTAATAGGAGCTGGAATTTGAATTTTATGTTCAACAATTTCAGAAGGGAGTTCATCTCGCTTTGCTGTTGAATGGGAAGTAAAACATTAAAGTTCTTATGGATTTAGTGTGAAAGGGTCTGTCTTGTTCTAATATAATCAAATAGTAGGACTCTGACTGCAAAGTTGTGCTTTTATAATAATTGTGTGACATTTCTTTTGACTATTGAGTTGTTGTTTACTGAAAAATAAATAGCTAGTTCAGTTAACAATTCAGTATAGAAGGTTGGAAACTATAGTTTGAAAAGAAAAAAGTCAAAGTAAAATTTTGAAAGTTTGCCTGGGACATAGTAAAAGTTCTTAAGTTTTGTTATCAAAGTTTTTAAATCTTTTTACTAGACTTTATGTTTCAGTGAAAAAGATCTTTGACTTTTGGAATAAAGTTCTCGGGCTCATTTGGAAGATCTAGTTTTTTCTTGAAGAATATTTTTGAAAAAATAATAAAGTTATAATATGTTTATAGATTTTTGATTATTTATGCTAGTAATCATGGTAATAAAATATGATAGAATAAGGTAGTTTAATTTTTATATTTGTAGGAATAAGGTCAGTAGAGGTAAGAAGTTCAGATAGTTTGTTTTTAATCATCTCTTCATAGTGTTTAAGAATATCATGATGATCTACTTTTGATAATATTGGATCCATAAAATAATTGAACCCATATTCAAGAATTGTTGCAACTTGCCAATATTTAAGGTCTGACAGGTCACGGGTTTTGAGATAGGCTATAAAAAAGCTTTGTTAATAATGTTTCTGATTTTGCATTTCATTGCTCTGATGATGAAGGTGATATTATGTTTGCTGCAATAATTGTTGTGATATTGTTTTTCAATTACTTTATATTTAATTGATATTTGTTTTTGATTATTTCTATTTGTGTAAATGTGCAAAAGAAGGCCTTATCTCTATTTATAATATAATTATATAAATATAATTTAAAAAAAATTTTTATATTATATAAATATTTAAACCAATATATTATATAATTTATAGTATCTAAAGTAAAACTATTTTTTTTTTTATTTTTTAAAATTTGCCTAGACAAAAACTAATATCAAAACTAAAATTAATTTTGCTAAAAACTTTTTCATTCAAAATCAAGGTTACAATGTTTTCGCATGCTACAACTAAATATTTAGCTCAATACTTTTAATAAAATTTGATATTAAAATATTGAATAAGTTAAATACAAAATCATAGTTTAGTAACTTTTTTTGAAAAATTTTGAAATACCAAATAGAATTTACAATATGAACACATCTTTTTTTTTTAAAAAAAATTCCTTCTCATTTTTCTAAGTAGAAGAAATATTAGTAACACTTCATATACATTGGTTTCTTAAAATTGTATAAATAAATAAATAGCAAGGATAATGTAAAGTATCAATGTGCTTTATTGTAAATAGAATGAATAGTACTAGTTTAATTAGGGAAATAGCTTTACTAAATTAATGTATCTTCTTTTTGAATCTCAATAAAGAAGACTTAATTGGTTTATATTTTTTTTTATTTATTTACTGTATATAATAAAAATATACATATATGAATAATAGAGATTGAACTTTTGTTTTTGATTAAAACTTTCTCTTGTCTACTAATTTTACCAATTTTTTACTATAGTCTATACGTATACAGTATCACCAATATTAATTCCGGTATTAAGAAAGAAATATTGATTTAAATACTTTATATTGTCGTTATATGCTGTATTTTGAACTTAACCAACCATTGACCTTTAATTTATTAAATCATTTGTTATTCGTTTTGTTACTTTAAAAGAACTTGCTGGCATAAATAAAGAGGGAAAGTTCCAAGAGAAAAATTTGGCAATGTATTCTTTATGGAATTTCCTTAACGAATTATTATTCAAAAAACTGTATATTATGTCATAAAATTGACATTAGAAATAAACAAGCTTCATTGTTATCGGGAAGATATTGCTCACGAATTCGATGTTCGGTCTGTTGTGAGGAGAGGCTTAACCAGTATTGTGGACGAACGGCGAGCCTGTTGCCAACCATTATCGCCTCGCGCAGTTTAAATACACCAAAGTCGAGACGTTTTCTAAACGTTTACCACACTACGGCTATCAATCATTCTCATTTAAATTTTCGTGACTCCTTGGTGTTGTCTGTGCGACGTTCGGCCGCTGCACCAAGATTGCGTTTTGTTGACGCCTCCAATAACAGAAAAATGTGTCGAAGACTTGTTTAATATATCTTGGTTCCACTTCATGTTTTATCTATTGCATGCATGCCTCACATACAGTACATTTACTCTTTTGTATCGTTGATTTAAAGGTGATATAGTATAAACTTAACTTTAATATTCTAATTCTACTGAAACTAAATAGTGGGTTGGGTTAATTGGTATGATATAAGGCATAAATAATATTCACGCTATAATAATCTAACCATGCCTTGTAAAATATTCGAATAATCGGATACATGTAACGGCATGATAAAATAGCCCGTGCATAAGATCATGAATCCAAAGAGAAGCCACAAAAAATTTTTCCGGTGATGTGTAATGAAGTAAAGAATGCTTAGAATGCCAAAGAATAATGTGAAAACATAAATAATAAAATAACCAATGCTAAAAATTTTGTATCCGAAAAGAAGTCGTAAGAAGATTGTTGGGTAATAGAGATATGCATCCCAGCCTTTAATACCCAGACTTTCGAAAACAGTTCTTAAATCACTATATTTTAAAAAAAGATCAAAGTTCCTTTTTTCTAAGACATTGCGTTCTAAAAGAAATTCTATAAACCTCATGGAAATTCCCAAAATAAAATTATAGGAACTCTGAAGAGATGGTATGACAAAGTGTGTGAGCTGACTAGAAGACGGGAGATCGTGAATAGAAAATATTTCATAATCCTTTATGCGCACAGGATTTCGAATTTCTAATTTAACATTGTCAAGCAAGTTATACTCAACATTGTGATAATCCAGAATGAAATTTGCTTGATTGTAGGAGTTAGTAAATCTCAAGAAAAAATCTGCTCCGAACTTGAAGCCTTCATTGGTAATGGATATTATAGGATGAACCTTGGAGTTCTTTGTCCCACCCAGTCTTCCAGCGTTCGCGAGATCGCCACAACTATTGTCGAATGAGAAGATAAAACTTTTCAGTGTACGAATGTTGTTTTCTTCGGAAGTCGTCCATGGAATTGGGTTATACCCTCCGATTATTAAATCGGACCCCTCAGGTTTAATGAGAGTAACGGTTGGGCCGATATTTTGACATGCTTCTTGGAAATTCGATTTATCAAAGCCATCTCGACTCCCGCGAATAAGGAGGTTATATCGATACCGCATTTTCTCTGTCGTGCGTTCACATCGCCGAATGGATCTCGCTTGTTGAGCCTCAATCCATTCTGAAATGCGACTCATGTGATTAATGGATATCAAGTTTGATTCAAATTTTCCCAAACGTTTTGGTAAATTGGGAAAATTTGATGCTTCCGAATTTAAGTAATATCTCACTAGTTCTCCATACAATTCTCCTACACATTTTTAAGATGTATCCGTTAGTGCTAGTCATTTTCGCGTTGAAGCAAAACAAATTAACTGTCTCAAATTATCTTTCAATTATCTGTACCTGTCAAAATTTTCGAATATGGAACAACGCTTGTGGCAAATTCATCTCTTGAAATATGAAGCCACCGAATCACGCCAGTAAAATTTTCCATCATCAACTTAAGATCATTGCATTGAACAGCTGTCCAACGTTCGGGATTTCTAGAGAGATTTGGAAATTGTGCAATACTCCATCTAACAGCTTGATTCCAGACATCAATTTCTTCCATCATGAGGTCATCCCTAGACATCATCAGGACTGCATCATTCAGCGGCATTCTGGAAAATTTTTCCAATTGAAGCATCAACTCGACGTCCGTTCTAATTGTTTCTATGCAAAAATCTTTAAGTATTTTCAATGATGGATTCATGAAACATTTTTCATAAATTCGATCAATATTTTCACGCAACCATTCGGTTCGGTCGCCTAAGAGGTTATGCTGAAGGCGTTCCACTAGTTGACCAAGTTCTAATTCACTTGCAACAAGTATAAAATCGATTATCAAACTTGGATCATCACTTAATAACGGTTCGTCCGCGGCAAGAAGAACATCCAAAAAGTTTTCTGCTTCAGGATTATGTAATGGCACAATGCCTGTATAGATATATCTAAATAACATGAGTATTTTAAAAAAACCTCGATGATATCAAATTATTGAGCTTACAAAAAAAAAAAACAAAACATCAATTACTTCAACAACGGTTTAAAAACACTTGGCGAAATTCTTGGTTTATAAAATTCTATTACATTTTCGGAATTCTGTAGTCTACTTTCAATTTCTTTCCGAAAATAAGGAGACCTCGCAGCAAGTATTATCGAATGCGCATCAAACGTTTTCTTATCCCTATATTCTCCGACGTGTATTTTCACGTCACACATGTGTCCCTTCTCCAGATATCCTCCAAGGTCTTCTGATAACCCTTCATAGAGTATGTTTCTCATTTTTTGAGTTTATCGGAGAGACAGACGGTGCATGTAATGATATAAGTAACGATATGCAGTTTCCCTAGAACCGGTTCGGAACGGGTTCCAATGAAACCGACTTCTAATTACAGAGGCGATCGTCGATCTCTTTACGTATACGTACGTACGGTATAAGATAATGAATACGTATTACGTAAGTACATAGTTCTATGTATTTATTCAAATTTTTATAATTCATACATACCGTTAGCAGGTTTTTTATTTAAGTGTCAAAGAAAAAAAAAAATATGTCAAATTTGATAAATTCCTTAATCAGGAGGGAAAAAATTGCTCTTTATTAGCTTGGGAAAGGAGCTTTGAGTAAGAAAATTTTTATTAATAGGTGTTTTTCATATTGACAGGGAAAGGGTACATGTTGAAACGGTTTGATTTTCAGAGTCAGAGGTGTGGCTACGTGGAATGCGAGTATGCGTTACGCGTACTATGGCGGCGTCACGAGAATTCGGGCCCCGCGATGCACGACCATTTTGATTATTTGCACCAATTTTCGACAAAAGAACAAGTAATGAAGGCTTATTTCAATATAGCAAGAAAATAATATAAAAGCATAGCAGGTTAGAGGGGAAGTCATGGTTGTATTGTTAACATCCTGCGCACATGAACAAAACCAAAATAGTTTAAAGGAAGATAGCGCTAATCAAGAGAAATTACTGGTGTCTAGTTCAAGTGCTATCTAAATAAAAAAAACTTTCCACTCTTCATTCTTCAACACACATTAGCATTTAAGTGTTTTCTTAGGTAAAATGCGTGTGTTTTTCCTTGCGTTGTTTGTGTGTACCGAAAGGTTACGCGAGTTGTGCTGTGTTAATTACTGACTCGCCGTTGGCCCCTCACAATTTAAATGATATTTATGTTGTCTTATAACTGATTCTATTGGTCATATTTCTGCAAATACGTAATGCACATAGTCTGGATTGCGGATTCCTTTTTGAGACTTGTATAGATGTCAGAATTGCCATATTCTTGATAAATGCGACATGCTGTATAATGATGCTTATATCTGAGCCTATGGTTTGGGTTCTCGCGGTTTATCGTTGATAGAATGAAATTAAAATTATCACTAAAAATAAAGTTTTCAAAATTTCTAATAATAATTTCACCATCATTTCTTTTAAAAACTTGGTACTGTAAAGCATTAATATCCTTACATTGAATTCATTAAAAAACCATATTACAAAGTAATTTAATCAAAATCCTTTGATTTGAAAAGATCTGTAACCTTTCCTTTATTATTATTATTATAGTATTACGCCATCGGTATTCTGATTATTCTCAAAATACTTTTCCAACTCCAGTAATATTAAAAATCTTTCCAACGCCCGAGGCAATAACTCTTCCCGCGAATGCACCGTTGCCATTATTATTAGAGATCGTGTTATTTACGTCAATTTTTTTATTGCCTTCAATCTCTGCTTTCTCTTCGCCAATCACCTGATGCTCCAAAGCAGCTTTAAATCTCCAACCACTACAATGAGCCGGTATCAGATAGGCTGGATTGATCAAAGATTTAAGATCTCTCACAGTTTCTTGAATTCTCGGTTCAAAATCTCTGCCAGCCAAGTGAAATCCACCAAGCGCTAGGTAAATTGGATACTTAACATTTCCTTCCATTTCACAATTCTCCTCTTTGTTCTTGACAGGTTGTTGAGCATGCAACAAAGTATTCACAATTCCCGCGTGTCCGCATCCAGTGATCACCACCAATCCCTTCCCCTTAACTCTCGCAACTAGAAATCTTTCATCCCATATCCATGGATCTTCGTTCCACTGTTTCGATGCTTCGTCATAAGACAAGTGATTTTTCATGCCTAGTTCATAGGACGTATGGCGTGGAATTTCTCCGCTGATAAAGTAAAAATTCGAACAGATGGTATGTGGAATCGAAGAACTAAGAACCTATTAGAATGAAATTCAATAGAGAAAGTAAGCACCAAGCGATGTCTCTTGAATAGTTGATTCTATTATAACTTTTACCTGTCCACCAGCACTTTCAAGCTCATCGAGCGTAGGATTATTCATTACCATTATGTGGTCATTGGATGAATGACTTCTTATACCGCGACGAGATGGCCTTGATGAGGGCAAATCTAACAAGGGAGGTGATAAATTTGATTGAAGGCGTGATCTAGCTATTTCGGATGTAGCAGATGTCAGCCCGCCAGAATGGTCTACATTTAGGATAAAAAATTTTCGGCAAGGATAAGCCGCAACGTTTTGTCCGACAAAGCAATATAAAATATATACACTGTACATATAAAAATAAATACCGCAATGCCAATGACTCAAAACCTATTATAAGCCACAATTATAAGTACTGTGCCTTTGATTCTCTATTTGATAAAAAGTAAAAAATTACATACCACGGCCTCAATTTCTTCATAATCAATATCCAATTTTCTTGCATTTTCCGTAAAAATTTTTCCATATGGTCCGGCATCAAATAATATCGTGTGAGATTCCCCATCGAGAGTTCCTGTCTAAATTGTCTACTTAAATAAAGAACAAGAAAGCGAAAAACGTGATTTAGACTGTTCAGCGAATTACGAAAATTACTTGCCAGAAGAATAGAAAATCCGTGTGCAGCACAACAAAATTCTGAAATATCCAATTCTTCTTTATGACCAATTATTGCCCTTTGTATTTCATCTATACGTTATGTTTGTAAATTATTACATATACAGTGTGTAATGAACTTGCTTTCGACTCATATGATGCGAAAGAGTGTATACTTGTAATGGTTCCGAAGTCAGTTGCCGAAGAAGACAATGGATCTGTTTCATTGTCCGCAATCACTTTTATCGATAGACTCTCGAGTTCCTTTACATTTTCGAAACTCGGATTTTCATTCATTTCTAACATAAGGAATCCGAGTCGTGGGAAAGTTAGTGTCGCGAGGATCATCTAACTCAATAAACAATGATGCGATGATTCTAACCCAATTTGAAAAAAAAAAACTGTATGTTAATATAAAACATAAATACAATAAATTTGAAAATTTATAAAAATTTATGTATACCTCTTACATAATACAAATTCATGAGTCAATATAAAGCTCAGGGGTGACTGTTGGAAGATGTCATATTGAAACAACATGGTACAATTCGTACTGAGTCACATAAGAACCTAAAGTTTATCATAAATCACCTATCTATCACAGGTGAATATATATTAAATGATAAGTTTTCTCAAATGATATATGAAAAAAAAATCAAGATCAAAAATGAATAAGTTTCTTAAATAGTCAAAAAAATATTTCAATAAATATTTTTTATTGAGAAGAGGTCTTAAAAAATAGATCTTTGAAGAAAGTATATAATTTTTTTATCATTTTTTTTTTGTCTTTTTGTCATATATTTGTATATTTTATATTTCCCTCCTTTTTTTTCAACCTATTTCTTTATAGTTTTCTATATTTTAGTGGTTTGATAAAATATATAACAAAAAAAAAACTTGCAAGTAATAAAATAATGAATTAGAATAATATTTATCCAAAGTTTATTATGAAATAAAATGATATTTCAAAATTAAACTTAAAAATTAGAATATTATTATCTATAACAAATTTGTTAAATTTAATAAAAATGTTTAATTATAATATATATTATGTTATTCAAATTAAAATATACATACAATATATTTTCAATTGAGGATTTAACTTAACTACAAATATTACAAAAAAAAAAAGGTAAAATAAAATAAGATAAAATAAAGTTCAATTAATTTAAGAATAATTAATATAAAAATAGTTTTTAAAAATATAAACAATAAATATTATTACTTTTTTTTTTCATATATAACTTATACTCAAATTAAATTGTCATTCAAACTATATAATATATATTACAATAAAACTATTAATCTTATTTTAAAATTTAACTTTAAAAATAATTTGTCACTTCACAATAAATTTAAAGTTAAAAATTTTTTATTTATATATTATAACCAATAAATTTTAAAGTAAAGAATTTTTTTTTTGCAATAACTTATTAAATCCAGTTAATATTATATATTTATTATATCAATTATTATTATTATTATTTTAAATACTAGCTTATTCTGAACCTGTGAATCAATAGCACAGTGATAGTGCTCCCAGGTCACAATCACAAGGTCTATAGTTTAATACCACTTAAGGGCCAAAAAATCAAAAATTACCTTCTGATCAGGTTTTACCGGTTATCCTGTGAAAAATTATGATCAGGTTTTACTGGTTATCCTGTAAAAGTCATACCCAATCATCCGAAACAAGATCCAATCAGGTTAGGTTGCAGGAAGATGGGACTTCTGATCTTCCGTCAATCAGGGGCTGAGATTTACGGTTGTACTACCGGAAGGATTGATTGTATGAAGAAAGGTTTCTGATTTAACCTATCACTGATGCCCCCAAAACCCCTTGTCCTGGCAATCTCCAGGACCCCCGCTCTCCTAGTTCAGGATATCCCAATCTGGTACTCCGCTTAATTGAAAATCAGTTAACTGGGACTGATTCAATGCAACAGGTGGTGACAAAGAAGGTAACGTGCCCCCTTCCGAAGTCTGAGCGAATAATATCAGGGAATATTAAAGGGTATAAAATATTCCATTGGGTGCACACGAAAAAGGACTAGCTTAGTGAAACAATAACAAAAAAATTAATAAGCTCAATACTAACTAGCCTAGCCACGCCGTTGATGACTGTGTATTAACCATCCAGCCTCTAGTTAGGTCTGCCCACTTAAGGAGTGGTAGCTGGTTTAACTAGGATAAACTGCGATAGGTTATTATTAATCTGCATGTATATAAAAATATATAAGTTTGTATGAGATGATTGATGTCACGCTATGGATTTAGTTATCTACCAAATGTTAAGTTAATTCTTAATAAAGCTCGCATCTAATACCAGTTGCGGTTTAAAAAAAAAAAAAAAAAAATACTAGCTCATTCTTGTACCAGTTTGTGTACTTTATTAAAATCATTATATGTCCTAGGAATAATTGGAATAGATAATCATCCTTACTGTTTAGAAATTTACTGATCAATAAATGATACAAGGGAGCATCTATTTATGCCTCACCCAATCAGAATGGGATAGCCATATAACTATTTAGTATAGGACTGTCTCTCAATTTTAACTAAACTATAGAAATTGAAAAATCTATATCTTCACTTTCAGTGAAGTAATTCCAGCCATAAATCTATTTCTAGCCTACTGGATAACATGTTGCTATCCTTTATTAGGGATATTAACATATCAAAAACTTGCTTAAAATGCTTAATATCACTGGTGTTAAAAGTTTTTTATACAGAAAGATCATGTTAGTACTTAAAAAAAAAATAAAATAAATTTTTCCCTCTGGTAAAAATAAATCCCTAAAAGGGAATAGTAATAGAAATCAAAAGTCACTCATTAAGAAATATTAAAATTTTTAAAATAATAACTATAAAAAAACTACTTACAATTGTTTTCTATTTTTTAAATTATTGATTTATAATATTTATTTCTTAACTTTTGTCTCTATTAAAATAAAGAGCTATAAATTTTGTTCCTCAAAAGGGAATATAAGTAACTTGCAAAATTTTATATACTAAATATTTTAGAAACTTATTATTACCTCCTAAGGGCTTGTTCTATATTTCAACCTATTTTATTGCTTGATTAGAACTCAGTCTTATATGAAGGATATTATACCACTTGAATTCTTACTCTTATTGAAACCTATTTTATATCTTTAACATTGAATTGAGTTGAAATCTATTATATTATAGATAAATTTCCATGAGTGGTTGAGTTTTTCTTTTTATATCAAGCTGGATAATCAGTCTTTGTTCAAGTATACTCTTTTTTGTATTTAAAAATGGAATAATATTGTATTTTATATCTACTTATATCTAGAATTATAACTTATGATGGATCTCAGATTCTTATAAAGCTGAAAAAATATATTTAGATATATAGAGTGGTAAATAAGAGCTTGTTTATCAATCTTGTTCAATATATTTGATGTTAATCAATCAAAATCAGCAGGATTTGTGCTACCCAAAAATTCAGGATCAAGTTGAGACAGGCAAAATTCTCTCAAAAGGTCATAATTCGAAAGCTTTTAGAGGGTATACAACTAGTTAAAGAATAAAAATAAGTTCTTTAACTAGAATAGAACCTTTATCTTATCTTGTTTCTTTATTTCAAAAAGTAATAACAAATACTTCACTGATAGTTTTTATTCTTTTAAGAACTTTCTTACTATTAATATTAAAGGTATTAACTAAACTTTATAGGCTACAAGAGTTCAATTTATCTAAAAGTAATTATAAATAAAAGAGAAAAAGTAGTGCCAACTTTTGAAAGACAATTTTCAAGTTAATTTAAGGAAACTATTAAAACTTTATTGGTGAAAAAGTATTAAACTTTTTGTAAACATCTTTTTTATATATGATCAAAGAATTCTTATTATATCAATTAATTAAAATATATTTAAGTTTTTTTTTTTTTTTTTTTTTAATGCTAGCATAGCCATGTTTTTTTTTTTTAAATTAACCCTCTGTCAGGTTAGTTAGGTGTGCTTTATTAAACCTTTGTAAACTATACATTAATA